TACGTAGTTAGTAGAGTAGGTGGGGGGGGGGGGAAAGGTCAAGATGCCACAGTAAAGCTATAATTTAGAGTTTTTGGTCAATTAATTACTCATCCATATTTTGGCCAACTTCCATAGGATTTGGTACAAAGATACTTTTTTACAGGTACCATATATATACATACATACAGAATGTGGGATATGCCTATTTTTGGTCATTTTATGGGGGGGGAGCAAAAAGTTAAATAAAACCATAATTTTGGGGGGTTTGGTCAATTATTTAGCTTTGGTTTGACCAATTTATATGGAATTGTGTGCAAAAATACTCTTTACAGGTCACAAACAGAGACATAGACAATTTTGGAATTCTTGTCTTTTGCTCAATTTTTCATCAAGAAAAGTACAATTTGGGGTTTTCATGAACTATATATGTGTATGTCAATCCACTTACATGGGATTTGGTATAAAGATACCTTCTTGCAGATCCCAAACAGTGATATAGACAGTTTTCGATTTTTCTGCATTTTTTCACAATTTTTCTAGAGTCAAAATTGGCCATATTGGGATTGTGTAGTGGAAACATGTTGCATTCACCTGCAAATATTGGCCTCTTTAATTGTAAGTTAAGTTTGCTGTTTTATTGCCAGAACATTATTTAGTAAATTCTTCAATTACATAGTTATTACTTCTATGCATAGTTAGTTAATTGTTTTATTTAATACATTAAAAATATACTTCTGTGTTCGTACAGTGAAAACCCTTTCCAACTATAGCCTTTTCTATGATTTTATAACTTAGTTCATAGTTTGCTTAACACAGTTTCACACTGGCCATTTCCCATATATTATTCTTAATAAAGTAACCGGTACCTTCTTATAACTTATATTATGAAGTAAAGGTCAAATTATTTACTTATGAAATTAACTAACAGAAAGCATTTAGAAAAAAAACAACTTATAAATTTAAGTATATTCATTGTTTTAATTTTTTTTCTATCCTAAGTAAACTAGAATTTGTGTGCTATGACTTTTCTTTAAAAAAGTTTTTTGAGACATTACAATGTGGAGGTAGAATAAATCTTCTGACAATGGTTTTACTAACTAATATAGTTAAAAACCATAAACATGCAGTAACTAAAAATTCATGCAATTCAAAGAAATAAAAAGTAGTATCAATGGATAGATGAAATTTGGAGATAAATTTAGAAAGCTACAAATAAGCATTGTTGAAATTTATTAATTCACTTTTCTTTTCTTCAGGTTGTCAATCTCAGCAGACTACCTTAACCACTAGGAGAGACAGTAGCAGCACACTTAGTTCTTTCTATGGCAGTATGGGCTCTGATAACAGCTCTCAACCAGTCAGCAGTGACATTTCTGGGAGACATGAAAGCCAAGAATCTTGTGCCTCTCAGAGTGTTGTTGGCCTCAGTTCTCCTTATGATCCTATCTCTCTTGGCAGTTCATGTCATTCAAGTGAAGTCGATGGTTTGACAGGTTTGTCAGCAGGTATGACAGCACATTTGCAGAAGCTTCACTCTCGTGCTTTAGTATCCCAACACCTGATAAACACAAACAACTTGGTTGTACAGAGACAGAGCAATTCTAGTGATGGAAGGTCTACCAGAGGATCTCAAACCAGCATCTCAACCAGAAATCAGTTTCCTGCAGAAGTACTAACACATTCAAGTTGCCAAACCAATGAACCACTAAAGCCTATTACCCAAAACAGAGGTGCTCCACCTCATGCCTGCAACATTAGTAGACTTCAACCATTACCACCTATTGGTCAGTCAAGATGTAATAAAGGTGAAGAACAGTCTATGGGACAAGTAAAACAATTTCATCCCAACCATAATGTTGTTCTGGAGGACTGGGCAGAAGATAAGCCTATTGAAGCAAACCAGGATCTTGTAATTCCTGATGAAATGGAGCACTACCTCAAAGAAACAGCTGAACAAACAAAAAAGGGTGGTAATCGTCCATCTTCACGACTGAGCCAAGCTGTGTCCAGTGTCAGTCAATATGACGATCTTTCTCAGCAGGCTTCACACCACAAGAAATTCCAGAATAGAGATAACCCAGAGTGGGTGACAATGTCACATAGTACTGGTCAAAAATTTGTCCCTAAACCAACATACAGTGAAGATACTGCATCTTCAACAAGCAAGAATACAAACACACCACAGAGTCACCAACAAGGTTCTCATGTTCCACAGCCAATTGCCCAGTACTGTTGTAAGAGTTCTCACACTCACCAGTCAACTTTGGAAACTTGTCAGCAAAATGTTTGCATTCCTCAGGTCTATCAGCAACAATCCCAATATTTAAATCATCACTCATGCAGCCATGAGATTAAACTCTGTCAATCTCAGTGGGAAACTGAAACAAGCCATGATGCTACTCACTCCAGCCTCTCTAAAGCTCAGGTCCCTAGAACTGACTGCTATTCTTTAAATGGTAACAATAGTCAACTTGGAGTTTCCTGCCAACCAGTGGCAGAAAATAATCCACCTAAAGCTTCTGTAACTAAGCAAAGCCCATTGAATGTGCAGCAATTAATGTTTACTCATAATCAACCAAATAGTTATTTGTCTCATAATGATCCTTACAGTAACTACATTCCTCAGACTTGCCACCAGATGTCTGTGGGAATGAACACAAATGGAAACTCTTTACAGAGATCTAACTGGTCATTAAGTCAATACTGTTCATCTAACAATAGCTTGAAGGATCAGATGTGTGGTCACATGAATCAGTGTCATTCTTCAGGTAATTCTTTCCATGGTCAGTTGGTTAAACAATGTCAACAAAACATTGGTTCCCCAAATCAGTTTGTTCCTCATACGGGTCAACAGTGCATTTCTGATAACATTTTTCAAAGCCAGTTAATAAGTCATGAGTGTCCTCCAAACAATGGTTTACAAAACCATAGGGGCCAAGTCATTCAACAAAATCCTTCTAATAGTGTAGTGGAGAATCAATTATGTCAACCATATCCTTCAAATAATGGTGTTCAGGGTCAATTTCATCAACATTTTTCATCAAAGAATGTTGTACAAGGCCACTCATTAGGTTATTCGTGCCATCTAGATAGTTCTCTTCACCCTAATAACAGTGGTCGACCATATTACCAACAGAATGTAGAAAATGAATCTTCTATTCACCCATTGATAGCTAATAAATCCCATGTTCAAGAAATCAAACAGATATGTCCTCTACAATCTTGTTCTGCCACAGGCCCACAAAAGAATTGCGAAAATGTGTCATATCAGCTCCCCAAAGACAAAGACTTTTCATTTGGTATGATGCTTCCTATTCATACACCCATTCAGCCTTCTTATTCTCATCTGACACAAGCCTGCAAATCTTGCTGCCGCTCCCAGTCTGAGATTCAGTGTAGAAATGTCAGTCAATCATCTCGGGCATCCATGCATTCTGATGCTTACCAGAGAACTTTGGAGTATGTTCAGCAGTGTCAACAGATGACATCCAGTAATGAGCAGTGTGTAGATAATGTAAACAATAGCTACCTCATTCCTGTTATACAATCTGTTAGTGAAAGCTCCTGTCAAAAGATAGAGCTCTCTCCAAGAGTCAGTAGCACAACAGATTGCCAAGATGGTCAGTTGCTACAAACTCGAAGCTTAAATAAAAAAGCAGACTATTCATCTTGCACCACCAGCCAAGCATCAGAAGTTAGCCAATGTTCACAAACTCCTAGTTGTCTAAATAGTAAACCCCATACCCCTTTCTTTACTACTAATAATATGGTGATTAATGACATGAGCTCATCTTTGACATCATTGATGGAAGAAACTTGTTACTTAAGGTTGATGCAGTAATTTAATTTGTGCCACTTCATCATATTTCTTTGTAAAAGAAAAAAAACTCTATGTCTTACCAGCTAGCTGTGGCTTTTTGGTTCTGTTAGGATCTTGGGAAGTATTGGTGTTTAATCATCCAAGCTATCCTAGTTGTTGGAAGGCTTACCAACATTTGTTTCTTGCCAAGTAGTGTAAATAATATGGTACATTTTTATGTACACAGTTTTGTATATTGAGGTTGGGATGGATGAGAATATTAGCTCTTGAAATGTTTGTGATGTTTTGTTGTCCAGGTTATTGTATGGACTCACCCCCACCCCTTTTCTGGGAGGATAACACATTATTAACAAGAGACCAAGATAAGCTGTTGCTTGAAAATTGATAATATCTGTGTGTGGTTTAAGTTTAGTTGTTTTCTTTGTAACATAATAGTGCCATTTTATTGCTTCTGTATATTTTCCTGCTCAGTATCATTTTTTCAAGGTACTGTATGCTGCTACTGTGCCAAATTCTCATTAAAAATGTTCATTTGATAAAAATGATTTTTAAAGCAAAGTTTCTATGAAATTTGAAAATGTATTTTAGAAGATTTTTAATTAAATTATGTTATTTGTTAAAGAAGACAAGTATACATTTTTCATGCCATATTTCAACACCCCATTTTGCTTCCCTTAATCTGATTGTTTGTGCTACGGAATCTTATTGTTATTGTATTTTCTAATCGTATTATTAGGGGTTTTATTATTGTATACAAAACGTTGTGTTTAAAGATAAGTCAATTTTCATATCAACAACTGGGCTAACTGTGTAGCAAATTGTGTACGTTTTTCAATTGTATATACATTTGTATAGCGAGTACGAAATGATGTTTATAAGACGCCTCAGATAATTCTATAATATGGCTGGTATTTGAAAAAACGGAAATGAGAAAGGCACCATTAATTTATTTGCTCGCATGTTTTGTTAAATCAAAGCTGTGTAAAGAGAAAAATCAAGACTTGATGTCAGAGATGTACAATAATTATCACCTTATTGTTATATTTCTTCTTCTTACACTAGAATATACTAAAGTTTTTTATCATTCCCGACTGTTTGAAGGTAAGCTTGACAATAGAAATAGGATAACATAGTTACTTTAAAGTCTAAACAATTCTGCCTATTAAATAGTCTAAATTAATCTGTACTGAAAGAAAGTATATGGTGTACAATACTTACATTTTATCCTTAGCTTAAACAATACCAGAGGTGTCCCTAGGCACTGGCACAAGGGACCCGTGCCCTCAATTATATTTGATAGTGCCCCGAATCCCCCAGTTGGTGTCTTGAAAAATCATTATAGAAAACCACACTGAAACACCGAAAATTCCTGCGAAAATTATGGGCTCAATCGCCGAATCTTTTAATCACCCAGCGACGCCTCTGATCAATACAGAAATATTTAACTTCTTTAGCAGATATAAACTTACATTAACCTTTAATAACACAAATTGAAACATGTTTTAGGAATTTATAAACTCTTAAGGACATTTTTGTGATTTAAATTTTTTATACTTGGAAAACCTTTGCTCATCAATATATTGTTCTACGAAGAAGCTTAAACTGCATTTGTTATTAGAATTAGTTTTTTTATCTATCACTTTTTTCCTGTGTTCTTATATATTGCTACAATAGGGCGTTTTGCAAAATCGGTAAAGTAATGTTACATTTTGACCAGCAAGAACTAAAATCAGCCTAAAAAAAACCTTTTCAACTTCATGTATGCTGTTTTGTAAAACTTGTTCGTTAGTTTGTTTGTAATTAAGCACAAAGCTGCACAATGGGCTATCTGTGCTCTGACCACCACGGGTATCGATACCTTGTAAGTCCGCAGACATACCGCTGGTCACTGGGAGGCTTGTTCGTTAGAAATTTCCATTAAGACTTAAAGTAGCTATTGAAGTTTTGTTTTATACTCAAATGGATGAATAGAACCTTTTTATATAGTAAATTTTTTAAAGTGAAACGTAAAAAGTTATTAACACAATCTTATCAAATTTTAAGCATTTATGAACAAGCCAGCACATCACACCTTTGTGCAGTTTTGTACGTATCATATATTTTTTTATCTTCGTTGAGGTACTTGTTTGAATGCCAATTTACAGAAAAACTTGTACGCTTGTATATTTCGAATATTCATATATACCTTTTACTTTACCATGTTTGTACAGCGAGTTACTGTTGTGTATCACAAAAACCACTTTATACCAGCAGCTGAAGTTCAAACGTATCGTAAGTGCCTTTTCTTGCTATGATAATCTAATGGTAGAGAATGAAAAAGTCAAAAGTATTTACAGCAAATATAAAAAGGCAGTAGGATATTTCAATATTTCGTCGTCTGCAATATATTCGATATTTTTTTTTATAAATGTTACTAATTAAATTTAAACAAATACCAAATTTTAATATAGTGTGTATTCACAGTTGTATATGAAATTTATACAGAAAGTGTTAACAAAAATAGTCGTTGAACTTTGTCATTATTCTACCATGATCGATGTATCGGTCTAAAATCAAAGAAACGTAATCATATGGTTTAGCTAGGAATGATTTTAACGCCTATATATTGGCATGGTTAGTTTTTTGTTTATGTTGGGTATACATGATGAAATAAACTGGAAGGTTGATTTTATGCATGTGTTGTTTTATGTATAAATATCGTAAAAATGCTAAATCTGTTATTCAATAGATATTTTACTTAATTGAGCATATAGAAGTTTACTACAGCGTCATTTATTTTTGCCGTAACTAATGCTTCTCATAAAAGTATATAAAATACAAAACCTACAGCAATATACTGAATTATCAACTCGCTCAAGGAAGCATATTAAAGATGTAAGTTGTTGACTTTTAAATGGTGAAGAGTGAAGTAAGCGACGTTAAACGGTCTGATTAAACATTTTGCAGTACAAAACACCAAGGACTCCATTTTCCAAGAAAAACAATGCATGAGGTACAAAACACCCATGGCTAATATGTTGAGGTTTTAATAAATTAGTACATATTGAGTAATAAAGTTTTTCTACAAATATGACAATCCTTCTAATAGAAGTATTTGTTGTTCTGAAATTCCTAGGAAGTTCATATAATTGTTTTTGTCGCTTTGGTTTGTACATGTGGTATTCTCAGGCACACTTATAATTTCCAGGTAATTGTAGTGTAGTAGTCTGAATTGTCAAAAGTGTCCTGCCAACAATTGCTTGTGAGTTAGCCTTCAGGCTTGATTGGTAAAGCACACATCGTTACCACAGTAGTTAAATTTGAGTATTCTACCTGTCCGAATTGAAGAAACAATTAAGTTAACAGTTTTAGCGAAAACACAATGCTTTTTTTACACACAAAAAACAAGCAAAAAAATACAACTCAACAGGTACGTGTACAGTGGATGAAAGACAGCACTTCTTTCTTGACTGCTTCTGTCCAAAGAAGCTCTGGGCGAAAATTTATCTCAATCTGAATAATAGTGAAAGATTTAAACACTATATATA